CAAATCTTCAGATTCGGATTTGGCTGAATTGAATCGGGGACAGTGATCCGAATCAATTAATTGAATCACTGTCCCTGATTCAGGCCAAATCCACATCGAATAGGGCCCATTTTGCACACCTCTAATAGAGTGCTATCTCTACCCTTCCTTCTTCCTGTTTTCAACTAACGCAGCTAACTACCTCTTCTCTTATTAAAGACCCTTAGGGTTCTGATGTAGAATTCCAAGTCAATAGAAAGACTCTCTTTGGTCTCAAAGGGCTTTGTGTTACAGCAGGTAGGTTTCCTAGTACACTGGAAATATCACATGTATGAAATTAGAGGAGACTAGTTTCAGGTTCCTTTGGAAAGTTGAACTATCTTCCTACTTTTCAAAATTGAATAGTGACTTTGGTTGTTTTACTATTTCAATGCCAAATTAGAGAAGAATGAAAGGGTCCAGATTTTCAGAAAATATGCACTTGTCATCTGAAAATTTGAAGTTTTTATATTGTTGTGAACTGGGCATCTAAAATCAGTACATGCTTTTAGAAATTTAGGCTGTCTTACATTTTAGGAATTGTTTGTTCTGTATTAAAAATGCTTTGTTTAAACCAAAAATGTTTGTAGTTCTGACTACATCATCTACAACAGAGAATCATCAGTCAGTATTGCAAAGCACTGTAAATCCTTAAAGCATATTTTTAAACCGATATCCCACATCTCTTACTCCAGGTCAAAGCATACTGTGAAATTCAAGCATGGTCTTTTTTTTTTTTTCTTGTTTCAATTCAGCTTGTTAATTTGATAGTTAAGGACCAAGACCCATTCTAAAACAAAAGAACCCTACAAGGTCATGAGCTAGACAAGTCTTATGGGTCAGGGGACTTGGTACATCTTTTGTACTCTGGGTTTGGACAATAGAATCCATATGTAATTGCCCTACTGGCGAGTCGCTGTGAGCACTAATAACTGGTCTGAACAATCCCAACACTAGACTCTTCAGTCTGTAATCTTTGCTAGGTTCTTATAGTGACAAAGATTGGTTTTGTAGCTATGTGGAAGAAACAGCAGTCTACCAGCAACAGACTTTTTTCCCAGTCACATACACAGCCTTTCAGTCTAAGGTCATAAACTATCTCCTAACCATAAATACTTCCAATGTTGCCTCAAACCATCTGCTTCCTGAGTCAGGTGTCCTGTGTTATAGTGGTAGTTTCCTCTCTTGAGCTGATGCCATGGAGGAATTTGTGGAGTTCTCAATGGGTGGATGCTGCACTAGAACAGGGATTGGCAACCTGTGGCAATCAGTTCAAATGATTTGGTGATAGCAGTAGTGAGAGGAGTGGTGACCAGGTTGAAAGTGGTAGCCATAGTTTGTTGTTTGCTGCTGTTCCATCCCTTCCCACTCTGTCTTGCACCCCCTGACTGAAGCTGTAGTTTCTTTCACCACCAAACTGGCTCTTGATGACAGTTGGTAGTGATGGTAATCAGTGGTGAGGATGAGAGAGAAACCATTGGCACAGAACAAGGAGGTCTGGAGTGGAAGCAGGTAGGTTGGGCAGAGAAAGATGAAGAAGCAAGTTGCTGGCCTGGGGCACCTACTTAGCCTTGCTGTTGGCTGCAACCCACCTTCAGACTAATTTGTCCTGCCACTCCCAAAAGGTTGCTGACCTGTGCGCTGTAGAATTAAAACAGTGTCTAAAAATGAGCCACAAGTTGATGATATGTGATTTTATGGACCCAGGAATCCCACCACTTTTAGTAAGTGAGGTGTATGGAATTAGCTTTCATGAGCCCTAGATTACTTTATCAGAATCTATTCAAGGATCTGAAAAGAAAAGTGTATCAGATAGAGAAAGGTTGAGTTGAACAGAAAAGACCAGATAGGGAAGGTAAGAGGGAGGAGAGAGCAGGGAAATGGGGGCAGTGCTGGGAGAAGCAAACAAGTATCCACAGGGGCAAAGGGGTTATAAACGCTAAATCCAAGTCATGACATAAGAATTCATAGTCCCCATTCAGACCATACTTAAACCAATCCAGTCTGTGGATGATTTCTTGTTCTGAAGTTTTGCTTTCAAATTCATTTTTAAAGTTTTTTTTGGTTTAAGAACAGCTACACTGACATAAGGATCAAATGCCCAGAAAAATTAGAGTGTTCTGCCACAGATTTGTGCATCAGATTGGTGTTCATTCATACTTACACATAGAGATTGCCCCATTTGTCCAGTGTAGACAGCAGACAGCTGCTATAAGCAGGTGTTGATATATATCACACTGTTATAGGAGAAGGTGAATGAATATTGGATGTCATAATCTGTGGCCATGTCTATACATATGCTTAACTGTGGAGTAGACTGATTAACTGCAGAGTATAGCATTATTAGACTACAGTAAACTAATTAACACTAGCATAAGATAAAGTACTGTCGAGGACAGTACTATCTTACAATGGGATACTTAACTGCAATTAAAATGCAAATGTAGATGCTCACCATAGGTGTAAATTGAGCCTGGTCAGCCCAGCCAGCAGGGGGCCAGACTCCTGCCTGCTGCCTAGCCATACAGCTCCATACTTTCAGCATCCTCATGCCCCAGCCAGCTCCAGTGTTGTCTGACTCCACCACCTGCAGCTTGAAGCTGAACCCCTAAACACCCTTCCAACAGGGCAGGAGCACCCTGGTGGAAAATGATCCACTCCAGTTAAAATTGCTGTTGTCCTGGGTACCCGTGTAGATATTGTACCTGGGGATATTTTGCTCTGGCTCAAACCGCCTCTGTGTTTATTGTGTCAAATTAATTACATGTGTAGATGCACCCAGTGTTGTTTGGTCCAGTGATGATGTAGTCTATACTGATGATGGGGCACAACTTTCATCTGGGTCAGTTGCAAGGCCTGGTCCCTTGATGAGAATAGAGTTAAGTAGCCTAAAGTTTGAGAGACACCATATGCCAAGATAGGTTTGTCCCCCATGACTACCTTGAGATGGTTGTGCTTTTTCAGGAAGGTTTGTATATCATTAATAATGCCTCCAAAGTGTTCAAGCTGGAGGCTGCAGGTGACAACCAGAGGGATTCTCTTTGTCCTGTTCTCAAGGTTGGTATTATAGCAGGTTGGAGTCAGGTCTGAGTCTGACTGTTGATTTAGCCATACCAAAGAAAAACTCATGAAAATATACAGAAATGGTCATATACAGGGTAATGCTATTTTTATGGACTTTCCATTCTAAGGCTATAACTTATTTTGCAGGTACTAGTCCTTAAAAGGACAATTTAAAAAAAAATGTAGATTATAAAATTGTAGAATCTCATCTCTAATGATTTTTTTGTGCCTCAAAGAACATGCTGATGCTGGATTGGTGTACTGCAACTCATAAATGAGAATTTACAAGAAGCTCAAAGCACTAAGAAGGTTTGGAAGCAGAGATTTTGCAGCTAATTTTTCCCGGCCCTCTTGGAAGCCTTTGATAATTTTACCATTCAGGAAACAGGTTTCTTGTTTGAAACGGAACACACAGCTTAGTTTTAATTTTCTTTCCTTCTGAATAACTGAGCTTGATCAGAAAATGTAGTGATACTGAGCAGCTTTGTATTGCTTTGTATTTAGGTCCTAAATTGCTCCACAGAGCTTGATTAATCCTCACATCTTTCCTGTGAAGTGTGTAATTAAATTATTATACCCATTTTACATACAGGGTGGGAGAGATCTTTAAGGCTTGCTAAGGCTGCTTTGCACCACTTAGGAATAATAATAATAATAATAATAATAATAATAATAATAATAATAATAATAATAATATGGAGCTACTTTATAGAAGTGTTGTAGAAACCAATCCTCAACTGTAAAATCATTTGAGAGAAGTTACATGTGTGCTTATGATTAGAATCACTAGAGTCCACTAGCATGGACATCATATTAGAGGAGTTATGCACAGAAGTTATGTACATGTTTAAGTGTTTGCAGAATTAGGACTTAACTTGGCTTTACAGAAGTAGAAAATGATTTGCAAGTGCAAAGAATGATTATTAGCATTAAATCAAGAATATCAGTTAAGAGGATGAATGAATTGAAACTGTCCTAGGCCTAACTCCTAATGGCCAAACTACTACATTAAACAACTTTTATGTAACTCCTTGGCTCTACTGTCCAGAAAATATTGTCTTTAAAGCCTTCTGTTTAATGGTATAAGCTGTGTATGTACAATATACCTTTACTCAAAGAGCTGCAGCAAAATTGTCTCCTACCAGCATAAGTCTCTCTTAATAATTTAAGCTGTTAATCTTTTACGGGCTCTGTGTGTGTATGGCTGGCTTTGCAGCCATCTGAGAACTGCTGTTAAAGTCATCTGACCTCAGCAGCACAATGCTATCCCTTTTTTAAAATTATTACTTTTCTAGGATCTAAAGTTCATTCAGTTTGCCTGCTTGGAGGCAAATGCAATATTTTTACCATTTTATGTTGTGACCCTTTAGTCCTGTCTGAAGTTTTGGACATTGGGGTGGGGATAAGGGAGCATTATTGCAATAAAAGATTTTGCGTCATTAAGAATTATGAATTTAATCAGGCCTATCCACTGTCTAGCTTATCCAGGTTGTCAGATCTCCTGCCTATAATCTCTTATTTTTCAGTAAGGGATGAAGGAATTATGAGCTTTCAAAGAGTTTTATAGCTATATATTTTTTGACATTCTGGAAGAGCGGTCTAAATACATCAGAATTCAGCTGAGTCTTTCCCTTAGTTTTGAGGTCAATATAGATGTTTAAGTTTCTCTTCCCATACTTTACTACCTGGAGTAAGGATTTATGGGATGCTGCTAAAGCATAGATCTAAATTCAACTGAAGAAAAGCTGGTCAAGAACTTGGAACTTTTAAACATGGAAGAGCACCTTAAAGGTATTTGACATTTAGTTATGCTGCACACTGTTTATATTATATTATATATTGTTGCAATTTAAGTAAGGTGTAATAACAACATGGGTTACTATGCACTTGAGTTATATCCAATTCTTTTTTTTATACAGGTTTAAGATTTTTAAGAGCGCTTAGACTGATACAGTTTTCAGAAATTTTGCAGTTTCTGAATATCCTTAAAACAAGGTAAGACTTTAACATGTACTTTTTCCATATGATAATATTTCTTCTCCAGTTTATAGTTATAGTCTGAGATGTATGTAATCTTTTCTCATAATGCCATAGGAATGGATGGGAGTTAGGTATGAGAACCACAGGTTTAAAAAACTTTTAATAACATTGTCATACACACTTGTGACTTCGTTTTCCCAGATAAAAAAAATTCATGAATGACATTAGTCTTCACAGCATTTTTATGACTTAAACTAAACATCTTTTTTGACCTCCACTATGGAAGTATTCCATCCTTTTCTAAAAATGATGGCTTGTCTCATGGGTGACAGAACTCAAGTGATTTAGCACTACAGTCCTCCTACTATCTGGCTGTATTTCTTACACTAATACTTAGTCTCTCTTCATTGTAACTTATGTTCCTGTTGAAAGATTGATCAATTTAAACATCTCTTTGATATAATCTGTACTTATTTTATGTGCTACATTTTTATAACTGCAATATACAAGGGACCGAGTGACTATAAATTAAAAGTGGAGTGAGTACAGAACTACACATTGATTAAATAATTTGTCCTTACATATTTTGAATCCATATTTTATTGCCTAGTTAAATTTGCAATTACAATTCAGGTTACAAGATACCCAAATGGAAAAAGGCAGTTTGAAAGATAAACATTACGGTTCCATTGCAAGCTTTTTGAGTTGAGAATTGTTTTATTTATTTCTAAATATTTTTTTATATTGAATTTACATTCAGGATGTTTTTTGTGTCATTGTCCTAAGTGTTCCTTTCTTAAGGTATTTAAACTACTTCAGTAGTAGTTAACCACACAGTTCTTTTTTAATTGCTTCTGTGTAGTTAAACATACTTTGTATATGGATCAAAATACATGTTACCTGCTACTATGTATCTGCATATTACCTTAGGAGCATCAAAGGGCTGTTCCATATTCCTGTGTGTACTGAAAAGAAATTAACTTTTTAAAAATCTATATACCAAATACACCACATACAGTATTGAAACAATGTCCTAATCTAAAAATAATTGTAAGTAAAAGTTTGGTTCCATTATAAGATTCCCACTATATTTCCCCATTTATGCATTGCCTCATATTTAAAGATGTCCAATGTACAAAGAGTGTATACATAGATAACATGAATTACCCTTAATAAGCAATATAATTGAACCTGGGATTGATTAGCAAATGGGCTTTAGAGTTGTTCAGAATTTCAGTAGTTTGTTCAGCCCTGTGAACCTCAAAACTATTTTCATTAGTCAATGTTTTTATGGGAATACAGTCCACACACTCTGAAACTGGTTTAGATTGTGCCCTAAGCTGTCTGAGTGCATAAGAAATGTGGTTTTCCTTTGTATAATAATTTAACTTTTCTACAAATCCAGAGAGCTATTCACTCCTGCACCCTTAAAATGCTACCAATTTTGTAGGAAATTAAATTTTTACAAGAACAGAATATCTAATGAAATTCAACTTTCAGAAGAGCATCAAGACCCTGATCAGAAGCTACCAAAGCAAATGGAAAGATTTCTAGAGCCTTCAGTAGGCTTTCAGTAAAAGTTCAACTGTAAAAGGAGTGTAGTATTAATTAAATGCATTCTCAAAGCTGTCTTAGAACCTGACCACCAGTCACTTAATTAAAAGAAAAAAAAAATCCCCCCAAAAAGTCAAAAGAGTCTCCCATGTAATGATGATTATTGTTTGTTTTGATGTTCCCTGTTGAAAGTTTTTTTTAGGTGAATTTGAGGGTTGTCTGCCTACCAGCCCCAACCAGGAAGAGGGAGCTGTACCACTTTGTGGCACCCAGGAAGGCACCTGATGCTACTTGGAACTGTCTGCCTAATGGGGCCACTCCACATCACTCCTGTCCTCCCCCACTCTGGTGCTGTGTTGTCCATAGCCTCTGGGGCCCTCTTCCTGCATCTCCATGGCCAACCTGAGCATGGCAAGAGGACACCCCTGTTTATATAGTGTTCCTCCACCCCAACCTGGCCAGCTTCTAGAAAGAGCAAGAGTTCTCAGGAAGGGACCCTTCAAGCACCAGCCAAATGGCAGAATGCCATGAGCCAGACCCCCTCCCTTTCCCCCAGCTCCTCTGTAATCCAGCTATTAACCTTTTTCCCTACCAGAAGAAAAACACATCCAAGGAACACTTTCAACAGAGACCATAACAACCCCCCCTCAAAAAACACAACAACATAATCTTCAAATCTTGCCTTATTTTGACTCCTGCACTAACAAAAGTCCTCTGTACTTTCTTAAATCATATACAGTGAAGATAACCTATGATTTAGAACACTATTTCTCAACCTCTGGCCCATGGACTAGGTCCAGCCTGCAGGACTCCCCAAGGTTTTGGAATTTGGGGGTGAGGGTGGGGAGGAATGTAATTGCCATTCTGCTGCTGCGAAGTTTCTGGATTACGCATTAGGGGTACACCAAGAGAGATTTTGTGGGCCAATACCTGACATTTAAGGAGGCATGTCAGCCAATATCAATCTCATTTCCCATACAGTGCGGTGGAAGGGGAGGGAAGGAGGTTGGGGGAGGCAGATCAACACTCCCTGAGGTGAGGGCAGGGGCAGGGACTGCTCAGGTGGGGCGACCGGAGCTGTGGAGCAGGGCAGCTCCTGCCACTGCCTCCACCCTGGGAGGGCATGTGCCCCCTTGATTTGCATGGGGTGGGGCAGGCTGCATGGGGTTCTTGCAGCCCCAGCTCAGCACCCTGCCTCCACCCATGTCCCTTCCCTCCCCTTCCACCACACTGGACTTACCAGCTGGAGGCAGCTCTCCAAGCTGCCAGCTCTGCTCCTTGCTGCCTGAGTGCTGTGCTGTGGCTGTGTGCAGCACGGGCATTTATCGGCCAAATTATTGGCCCCATCGCTCCAATATCCGATACAGAACATTTTCTTTAAATTGGTACCAAACCAATATCAGACCAATGTATTGGTGCACCTCTACTACATATTGCAATCCAGTGCCTGTATTCTACTTCAACAGTGTCTTAATTTCATTGGCAGGTAAAGTATTTTCAGAGATGGAGAACTAAGCATTCTATGTTCCTTTGAGATCCATTATTAAACTTCAGTAGATCAAAGTCAAAGGGAGAACCTGGAATAGTCAATTGCAATTTATTATTACCACCATTGAAATAATAGTATAAAAAACTAACTCCTTAAATTATTTTATATATAGCATTTATTATTTTAGATTACTGTCTTAAAATTCATTTCTGTTTATATAAAAAAGTGTCATAAACAAATGGCATTAGGGAGCTGTAATATCTAGTCTATTCATTGACCAGTAAGGTGAGATCCAGGGCATTCTTTATTTTTTTTTCCCCCTTTTAATTTTCCCTTGATAGTGCCTTTAATATTTGGTCTGGTTGGAAAGGAGGAGATTCCTAATACCTTGGAAAAACATTATTTCCTCTAACCCTAAATTAAAATTACTGCTTGGAAGTTTTATTTTCTGTAATGTAAAATCTTTCAGTAGTGGCAGAAAGATGAGGATTAAAGAAGCAAATCTCATTTTTACAATCAGTAGAAGGATCATTCATAATACTGTGATCTACAGAAAGCAGCTAAAGCACTTTACAAATAGAAAGGGAATGTATTACTTGGATAGGTGTCAGCTGTTATACAATTATCAGAACATTGATAAATTCCTAATTATTTTAATAGGCCCTACAGTTGCAGAGATACTTCACACTGTTGTTAATTATAGCTGCTTCAATCACCTATACATTTGATATGTATATAATTTACATTTGAAATGTAATAGATCTTTCACAGAATCATTCTCAGCTTTCAGAAAACTAAAATAAGTTAACCACTTATGATTGACATAGTTGTTGCCACATTGTTTTATGCCATGTTTCAACAAAACTGTAGGGGCTTAGGCAGGGCTCACGATAAGGGATATTGCACAGATGTTACAAAGAGCTTAAAGGGCAGGAAAATATTTGTGAGTAATCCTTCATCTATTTTTAGACTCAGGCAGAAATACAAGGGTATTTCATAGAGGACAGAAAGCTGAACAAACCAGCAAAATATAACATTTTTCTCAACAAGTAATCTAATAAATTGTTCTTTGTCATTAGTCCTATTATTTAGTTGTGCTATAGTAGCACCTAGAGGCCAGTTGACATATTATTGCAACTGCTATAAGGCTTTTTTCCCCTGTGAAATTCAGGGAATGAAGAATACTTCACTTTCATAATGGAGCACTGCATCATTTTGAATGCCACTTTTTAGCCTCAATAAGGGCATTAGGAATTCAGTTTTCAGTTATAACTTGATGTAATTACCAATGGAATATGTAAATATATTAATCAACCATGTATTAATCAACCAAACCTCCTTACCCCTTCTGTCCATTATGAAAAACCATTGTATTTCAACCAGTCTAAAAATAGATACAGCGATCAATCATATATCGTCCTCTGATTCCAAACACCCCAAAAGATAGGAACATAGATAATTTGTATGAATATGCATTAGCATGAATTACTGGCAGAACAGCAGAGATTAAAGGTTAAATGTAGGCCTGTAGAAAAATCACTATGGAGTACTCAGTTGTTTCTTCTCTGGTCCTTTCATATGCTGTTAATCTGTAAACTTTACAAGAACTATTTTTAAAAGGCACCCATTACAAGGGATTCTCATTTCATCCAAATGCTAATTGTCATAAAAATGAAGACTAGAAATTGCATTAGGAGCATTGGAGTGATTTATAATTCCTCATTCTTATGTCTAACTGCAGTTTGAAAGGTACTGCTTTCAGGCCTTGCAGGCTCCTTATTGCTACTGAACACATAGGGCAGAATCCTATTTCACTTTGCACACCTAAATTGCAGTCACCCAGGTACTGCAGTTTTGGACACTTATACATAGTTTTGGTTCTGACAAAATAGAATCAACCAGAACATGAAACTGACAGAAGCAAAGAGGAGAAGGAAGACGACAAAGACTTGACTACCCCTCTCAGAAAATG